AGAGAGGAATGACTCCGAGTTGGCTTCATTTATGTATTTATGATGCCAAAAAGATAATCCTCAATCTGTATGTTTTACAAGTTGAATATGTGTGGCCCCATCTGAGACATAATTGGATATAGACATTGCTGGCTGCGAAAGCCCTGAGAGGCAAGTGAGAAAACTTTGATATAAATTGTTTTCTCTCTTGTGTTTATGACTAATAGGTCCAGTGTGTAACATTTAGGAAGATCTATTGGCAGAAAAAGAGACAGACTATAATATCCATATGTTTTGTGTTTCATTACCAAATGGCCCTTTACATCTACAGAGGGAGCAGGTCCTCTTCTTGTATCCATGTTTCTACAGTGGCCCAGAACAGACAAACCAAACACTGGTTCTAGATAGGGCCTTTTGGAAGGCGAGCTGTATTCAGTTAATTGCAATCTGCAACGTCAGCTCTAGATGCCACGTAATCCAACACACTGGTCATTTAAGAACAGGTCAAAAGTTTTGCCAGGATTATTTTTCAGATTTTTCAATTTTTCATCTGTTAAAAAGGATCTGAAGAGCCAGATATTTTCAGTTCATACTTTTATTTAAGTAGATGTACAGAATTATTAGCAGCAAAATGTACCTACAGTATCAAAAGTAAGTGGCAAAACGGCTCCTTTATCATTATTGGATTATACTATACTTTACCTCAAAGAGAAGCTCTTTTTAACTACTTTGTATATTTGTGTATGGTTTTATCTATAATAGTGCACATTTTTATCAGCTAATGATATGTTTTATGAAATAAATATAAGATTTTGATCTTCAAAGTAGCTTTAGCTGTCAGATAAATGCAGTGGTGTAATAAGCATATTCCCTCTGCAATGTAACAGGGTAGAAGTATAAAGTAACAGAAGCATTCAAGTATTAGTACTAATACTAATAACTGTATAATAACTGTAATTACATTCTATCATTCACATGGCGATGGAAGGGCAACAAAAACAATAGAGAGGGGACAAAAATAAAAATCAGAGGTAAGATGTGAGACAAAATCAAACATGAATTACCATCACATCAAAAGAAATACTGTTAAAGAGTCTAGCCAGGCACCAGCATCAGACATCTAACACAAGTTTGATAAAATAAATGACCCTAACCCTCTTTTGATCCACTTGGCTGTGAAGAATCATTTGAACCTCTTGGGTTTCTTAACTGCTGCTTAGTGGTTTGTGTGTTTCTGTGTCAAAGCAAGCAGATGGATGACATGTCCCAACACCCAAGCACAGTTCTACACTGCTGCCACTGACACCCTGGCCACCATTGCACATTGCACACACACAGATGGCACACAGAACCGCCAGGGAAGCCAAGCCAAGGTCACCATGTGTGGAGCCATCTCTAATCAGGATCTGATGACAGAGAATATTTAATATAAAAACACAAAATGAAACATGCTCTTTTGGTTCCTCCCTGATCTGATATGGAGGCGATGAGACAGTGACACACCAGCTGTGTGGCGTCAGAGCTGCTCTGCTCACGTATGTAGCAATTCAACACGTTTCTCATTCCGCCCAGAACTTTTAAAGCCCCAGCTTCTCACTCCTTTGTTTTATCGCTGCCTTAAAAGGAGCCATATGATCCACACGTCATCGTCAGAAAAGTATAATCACATGTACTGGTGCAGATAATGAGGAACACATGTTTGGGGGTAGCTAATGTGAATGTGACTAACATGGGATAACACATGCTTGTTCAGCTTTGACCTTTTCCTGTCCAAGCTTTCCATGATGGTTTATATAAGAGACTCCCAAAGGTTCTGAAAAGTTGCTTTTCGGATTCTACACGCCACCCTGCCCGTATACCCCCGATGGGTGGGACCCAAAGAGTTGCTGTATGCTTATCGGGAATCGTACCATCCGTCCAAGAGCTCAGTCTACAGAGAGCCAGCTGTGAATATGCTCATGGCCCTGAGACTTGGCTCTATCTGAGCAGACACATTAAGGAGTCTCTGGGTGGGACGCCCTTAAGACATTCAATATACATCCATACAGGCCAGTACATCCTGTACTCCCAAATGTGCACATATGCAGATGCGTAAGATTATACAATATTAAGAAATATGCTAAATGGACACACACATGCTTACTAATGTGATTTGTCTTGTGTGAACACTTGGCAACATTATTACCAATAACTGCAAAAGATGTATCGAGAAGCCAATATTAATCTCCAGTGTTGCTTGTTTCGCAACAGTGACTCAGGCAAATTTAAGCTTGGTTTCCTTCATTCACTTTCTCATCACTAAGCACAGAAATAAACCCCTTGTTTTCTCAACATCACCTTGGTGTTTTAAAGCTTTTCTTTCAAGTATATTACATGTCTGAGGTCAAACCTAAGTCTACATGTCGATAAATATCTAAATTTTGAGTGGCCTTTTTAGTTTCAGTAGATGTGTTTCCATCCACCTGTTTTCATGCACACTTTGTGCATAGAAAACACCTAAGTGGAAATGCCAAAAGTTAAAGAAAAAAACTCAAAATATCACAAAAAAGTCTTTGCTTGGCTAAGAGGGAAAATTATATTTATAAAAGCAAAATCTCTTCTGAGAGCCACTTAATACATTACTAATACTTAATGAGCCATCTCCTAGTATTCATATAATGGTTGTGAATGGAACTGGCATAGTTTATTTTGCAGATTTTCTCAAAATATGGTTAGAATTTGCACTATATCTGGATGGAAACCTGGCTGTTGTCAAAGTCTAGTGGCCAGGTCTCCAGTCAGGTCTCCTTCTGGACAAATCATCAGAAATGAAGTTCTCCAGACAACAAATCTACTTCCATTACATGATTCATGAAGAACATGTCATGGCCAAAGATCTTTTACTTGGCTCCTGTAGATAAGTACAACATGCAGATGGAAGAAGGATGTACTGAGTTGTGAAAGAGAAAAGAAAGACGGAACTATCTATCTATCTATCTATCTATCTATCTATCTATCTATCTATCTATCTATCTATCTATCTATCTATCTATCTATCTATCTATCTATCTTATGAGTATGATCAGTCGTGCCATTACTGTGTGTTTAATGTGTTTCGCCTCATGCAGCTGCTCATCACAGCAATTATGTAACATTTCATCAGTACAGAACACTGGAGTTTTATGTTGAGCTGAAACAAGTACAAGCCATGCAGTTTCTCTAAACCCAAAGCCACACTGTGGTTTCTATTAACTGCCAAGCTCTTTCAAATACAATTATGTTGACTACCCAAATATTTACCGTGTCATAATGTGGCTTAAATATCTGCTGATGGATTGGCAACATATTAAGCCAAGTAACATTTTTTGTTGATTGTACTGGTTTCTTTTATGCGTCTATCATGCACACTGTACTGTGTCTATCTTGCACCAGCACTGCTAAAGATACCACAACCTATTCTTCTTTGAATTGTTTTGTCAAGCGGAACTGAATGGGAATATTGGAACCCAAAAGTTACTTCTTTCAAACACATGTTTGCCAGACTTTTGTGTTCTCACAAATGCCTTTTTGTTAGGAAGGAAGGAAGTACCCGCTTATACACAGTAATCTTGCTGTCAACAGCAAAATGGCTTCAATTGGGGACTACATTGGCTTTGATATCCCCAGAGTATGTCACAGATGCTGCCATGGTGCAGGAGGTGATTGCCGCTCTGGTCTTAGCACCCTCAAACTGAGACCATTTATGTTTTTCCAATGGGCATCTTATAACCAATAGCCATCTTATGTAACAGTTCCTTGGTGTATTGGGGGGTATGCCCAGGGCAGGCTGTGGCTGCATAATATACAGCAGGGCCCATCCATGTACTCTGTTGTAATCTCTTTAGGGTTTGAATGATTGACAGACAGGGCAGAGGAGAGCAAGAGAGAGACAGAGAGAAAGAAAACAGTTTGGGTTATCCCAGCTGTAATAACTCCAGTGATGGAGTAGTCCCGAACAGCATCTGCAGCGTGTTGCTCCACTCGCAGCCATGCCATCTTTCAAAGACAATCTGGACGGCTGAGAAAACGTTTAGGAGGGACCACACAGGCCCCCGCTGTTCATAGCTGGTCGCAAATCCATGTCCTACCTCCCTAGAGCTGCTCTGCTCTGCTACAGCATCAAAAAAGACTGAATGAAACATGCTCACACAATTTACAGTAACTGGGGTCTAACTGTGGGGAGGGTGGGTATTAGATGACTTGGTCTCTTAACCATCTCAGTTGCAGATGTTTATAACACAACTTTAAACATATTCAAACAGGAATAGAGAGAAAAAACAAACCCTTGAATGTATGTACAGAACAAAAGCTTTGGGGAAAAGAAAGAAAGAAAAGAGAAGAGAGAGTAATAAATAAAAGCAGCAAAGGAGGATAAGGCAAAACCATTTGCACTTAATGGTCTTGCATCAAATGTGCACACAAGCTGAGGCTGAGTGTGCGTGCATTTGTGTGTTTGTGTGTGTGTGTGTGTGTGTGTGTGTGTGTGTGTGTGTGTGTGTGTGTGAGATGAAGGGAAGTGTTCAGGCCATTTACATAGTTCAGAATAATGCATGACAACTTATGAACATTAACTTTGATTTGTGTAATTTAAGCCCAATAAAAAAAAACAGAAATAATGAAACGGGGTGTAAAATCAGAATGAGTCACAGTTAATAGAGTGAAAACATACCAAAGCTGTCAGTCACTGGGCATTTTTTGTATTTTAAGATTATGTTTCACTCACTGCCTCTAGTGAGGATAGATGTATATCTGACTATTTTTACTGTGTTGCATTTCTCAAAGGAATCTTTGTAGTTCCACTTCTAACATGATACTTTTGCTAATGATATGCAGGTTAATTTTCTGGAGTTTTGTTATATCCTCCATTCTCCCAAGAGGAGGGAGTTTTTCTTAAATAATGTGGCAAAGGGGAACCAGTATAGAGTTGTGCATGGTGATGGGCTGAGGGGTGGGGGAGTGGTCTCAACCATGCAAAGCTACAATAAAAGGCACTTGTCTGGACCTCTTAGGAGCCCAAACTTTCCAGTAGCACCACAGGCGGCTGCTGCACAAAGGCAGGCTGAAAGAGGGACAGCTAGATGAATAAAAATTAAAAGAGAAGAAAAATTATTCAAGCTAACATTTAGCTCTCCTAAAATATTTAAACTTTGTGCAGTTTTTTCTTTTCAAGTTTTATATTTATATTTTTATTGAAGAAGGCTTTTGTGTGAAAAAAAGAGAAAATGACGAGTCTGCTGTGCATCACAATAATCTCCCTGAGCCTGGCTGCCAGTGCATACAGTCAGGTGACAAGCTCTCCCTCACCAGCAGCAGGTAAGATTAAATTTATGTAAAAAAAAAAAAAAAAAAAAAAAAAGTTCATATTGAAGTATGTGGATGGTTATGTGTGTCTGTTCATCTGCATCTTTTGTAAATGCATCTAAGTGCAAAGTGTTACTATGCATGCAAAAAAAAGAAGCACCGCAGGATGAACTGTGTAAGGGACCTGGGCAAAGTGGTACCATAGCTGTGGCTTGTGTAACAACAGGGTCATTGTAGCAGTAGGTAACAGAGTCGTCTCTGGGGTAACACACACAGACACACTGTGACTCACCATTGACTCATTGACTTGCTGCATACAGACCACCACAGCATGGACTGGCTGGTGAAAACTGTAAATCACCCTGTCATTCACAGTGGCTTGCTGCCCTTACTACTGAATAAGAACCACACCCTTAATACTACTGGTTGTACCCTTAAAATGGGTTACAGGTGTCTCAGTGGCTGAAATTGGCTTGTATTGTTTGTGCATTTTTGGATGTAAATTCTTACTAGAGTGCAAAAATAGTCAAGAATTTCCCACAATAAAATCTTGTCATTTTATAAGTGTCTTCTTCTTCCTGTGGCAGACAGAAAATGAAAACCTAGAAAGACGTCTTATCAGAGAGCTCCTGCACTCCATCGTGAGGCTGTTATAATTCAAATTCACACCTGCCAACTGGATGACACACTGAGATGGTTGCTGCAACCGCAAGCTATGAAATACCGGAATAGATCTACCGCTGTGTTGTAAGGAAAAAAAAGGGGGGGCTGGCTACAGTAGAAGCTCTTATGTTATACGAGTGATATTCAATGCGCTTTCTGCAGCCCTGCAAGCTGACTCAGTAGATGTCAAATTAGGGATTTCTCAACTCTCTCTTCCCAGACGGGAGGAAATAGTTTGTCTGTGGAGGAGAATAATTTCACTCTGGGAGGAGATTATGCTTTTTGGTCCAAACGCTGAAATTGCGCCGAGTGACACAGACTGTGTGTCTATATGTATGTTTATACATGACCTCACTGTCTGCATTCTAAAAGCATTGACTCAAGCTCAGGCCAGCTTAATCATTGTTCCATACAGTATAGCTTTTATTGGCCATATGAGCAGTGTATTCTCTGTCTGTTCACGGGGCGTTGCCTGTCCTTATACCTACTGACTCACTCTGGCACTGGGAGCTTTTGGAAAGCTGCCACGGTAAGAGGCAGCCTGACAGAAGCGGAGTTAAGATTAACGACCCGCAGCCAAACGTATAGAGCCCCATGCTGAACAGCAGCCAAATTACTCTGGTTTTTCCCTGTGAGGTAATAGTCTGTTAAGTCTAATGCTTACTGTAGTTGTTGGTTACTGATGCTTGGCCTGGTTGCTAGGGATGGGTGGGAAAAGGAGCTTGGCTGGAAATGGGTTGAGGCTGGGGGCTAAGTTGAAAATGTGCTTAGGCTGGTAGATGAGATGTTAGTGGAGCCATGTTTGGTGCTATTGCATTTATTGCACAAATCTCTGATAACAGTCAACGGTACATGTGTGCTGATTCTACATATGTGTACCCATGTAAGTGATACACACCCACACTCTCTGTTTGTGCTAGTTCTGTATGACAGAGTGCAGGAAAAAGTTTATTGGAATTAGTGTGTAGGAGTTGTCCCAGCTGTGCTTGTTAATTCTTTCTCCATATTGACACAAGCAGGCCAGCAGCAGGAGAGAATAAAGTTGTGGGATGTTGTAAAGCATCTCATGTCTAGCTGCTCTGTCAGAGGGTGTGGCAAATTGTTCACACACTGATATAAACATGCTATGACTGTTCTCTGATGATTTCCAATCTTTCTTAGAGGAGGAATGTAAGCCAATTAAATATTTTATTAATTCAATAACTTAAAGCAAAAATTATGCTTAGGGGTTCATAATTAGACTCTTGAAGCTTCACAGTATTGAGGCCACTGAGTAGACTTGGACCACTGTAATGTTGTTGTTAATTTACAGTTCGGTGTTACAAAGAAGCAGATGGTTCCAATCACTTGCTAATGCAACTTTTAACAGAGTGAGAGAGAATTGTGCTTGGTCATAAAATGGCAGTAGGTCTTGGCTGCAGCTGCAGAGCTCTTTTACTGTCATGCACACGTGTTCATTTGCTTCTTTGCTGTGTTTTCATTCCCAGCTGCACTCCACAAAACTTTAAGATCGAAAACCATTCAGAATTATTTGACGACCCATTTTTATGTTAAATGTGACAATTTCGCACCACCTTTGACCTCAGAGAGTCTTATATAAATAGGATGTGGGTTGAGGTGTGACAAAGAAAAGAAAGACCCCGTTCTCTTCCTGAAAGGCTAAGTACACACAACAGGCTGTTGTTTTATGAGTGTAGTGCGCCCCACATGGTCGGGGCCACATTCTCCTGTGGGACATGTGTCTGCTGGTAACTGCAGGAGCAGGAAAGAGTGTGGAATTACTTTCAACGTGCCTGTCTCTCTGTCTGCTACTACTGTCTATCAGGCATCATTACCTTCAAGGTTACACCAGATATTTCCAAAAGACAGAATTCTTCATCATGCTTTCATTTAGTGAAGGTTAGTGTGGATACAGTAATTTGCAAGTTCTTTTCTCAGAATTATGTTAGCCCTGTGATGTATAATCAATCCCCTCCTTCCGTCTCACATTTCAGGATTACAAACCACATCCAGTGGTTGGTTTTTGTCTCTAGCCAGAACAATGTTTTCATAAGACAGTACAATGAACCCCTTTGTTCTACCCACTTTAGTTTGTAGAAATCTGGAAATTTGAAGGTATAAATGTTGGATAGCGTCACATCAGGTGAGCTGGTGTTGACGTCACCTTAGCCTTCACCTTTGCCAGGGCATTTGATGAGCAGTTTAGTCATTCTGGATCCCTCAGGTTTCAATCACACTTCATGCAACTGCTACCCATACAGAGAATTTATGAGGCACAGCGAAGCCGTGAGTCATCCCTCACTGACAGAACAGCCAAAGAGGATCCTTGTCCAGACTGCTTTTAAACTCTTCAATGCTTTTAAAGACATTAGTAATTAGCAGCGGCCAAGAAGGGTGTTTCCTAGCTCGTAAAATACCTGGCATCTTGTTGACCAGTCAAGAGGCAAGTTAGACCACTGGGTGTGGTGATTGAGTAATAGAAGTAACCTCTGGCACATAAGAAGGTTTGCAGTCTAATGAAAGAAATGAAAAAATTTATGAAAAATGTCACAAGTTTGGACAGAAGGGTAGATTCGGTCTGTCAGCAGTGCTTCTGCTAATTAAATCCTTCTGCAGGAAAGCTCAACAGTAATGATCTGAACACCACTGAACAAAGTCCAGACATGCGTCTACTGTGTGGTTAAAATGGAGGATTGGGACAGTTTAAGCATGGGGCTGATTACATGCGTGTACATGTGGGTTGGGGGGGGCAGGTAATTGGTTGATCAGAGCGGAAGGTAGCACTCCAGTGGCCCCAATTATTTCTTGCATTGCCCATGTGGGAAACGTTTTCCGTGTTGAAGAGTCAGGGACACAGTATTCCAGTCATGGCTCTGGTATTGCTGGTCAAAGTGAGGCGCCTCAACACAAATGCTGGCATTCTCAGCCAGAAAAGAGAAGCAGTCTGGTTTAGACACAAATCATCCATATTGAGTAAGTGAGAAGAACATAAATCAGAAACATAGCAACTCAGGGTTTTTTACTGAATACTAGACATGGCAATAGATACTCAAGGGGACAATGTGAACCTGGATTCAGCCAAAAACTGCTTGGTGGCATAAGATTAATAGTTATGTCTGCAGACCACATAGCTTAAAAGCTAGTTGATTTATTCAGTTATGTAATTACCATAATATCTTATAAGTCGTATGCATTGCAGATGAATTTTCAAGGCTGTACCTGTAGTGGTGGGGGTCAGGGGCCATGTACATCCATCCATCTGGTGCTTATTATTACTGCTTGGCACAGGCCACCCCTTGCTGGCTGGGGTCTTCTTAACTAAGCAAGCCCTGTGAGGTCTAAACATGGAGGTCAGGGAGATTGTGGGAGCCCACGGTGAGTTTGGACAGGGAGGATAGAAAGGGAGTGCACAGAGTAAATACACAAAATAAAAAATCCTGTTAATCATTCAATATTATGTGCTTACTTTTCCTGTTATTCACTTGTATACTGAAATGCTTCATCCAAATCAGATTTCGGCAGATGTAAGATAAGTACTTCATTTTGAGGGTTAATGCTGAGAACTAAAGGTTTAGAAGTGCCAGGACTGACAAGAGCAGGAAGGAGACTGAAGAGGATGATTGGCTCCAGGGGCTGAAGATTGGCTGGTGTCCAATACTGTATCTAATAAACCAAACAGGATACCCCCACACTCTTGTGAGAATGCTTTTTCATGTGCAGTAAAAAATAATGTACAGTATATGCCAAAACATGCAGTGGAACAATTACATACAAAAAAGAAAGACCAATAAAGAAGGAAGAATTTGGAAAAGCAGTGTTTTTCCTTTTTTGGTGTTTTCTCAAACAGAATTTTTGTAAATCACGTTTACGTTTCATGCCAAGCACAAAATGTATGTAAACATTACATAATATTTTCCTGTTTAAGTCCAAGTATCATAAGCCTAACCAAACCCCAATAAGGTTACAGTATATTGTGTTTTCTTCTTTTCCAGTTAAGGTTTTTGCTAACCTAGGTGACAACGTCACCCTGCCCTGCAGGCTCCTGTCCCAGGACTCCATGTCCTTTGGTAGCCTTGGTATCCGTGTCAAATGGACCAAGGTGGCAGATGATGAAGCATTGAATGAGGATGTACTGCTTTCAATGGGATTCCACAAGAAGACCTATGGAAGCTTTGAGGACCGTGTCTTTTTGCAGGAGCACGACAGTGAAGATGCCTCCATAGTAATAACTGACGTCTCCATGGAAGACATGGGAAAATACCGGTGTGAGATCATCAATGGGATGGAAGACACCATCCAAGAGATTACCTTGGAAGTGCAAGGTGGTCTCACTGATGGTAAATGCTGTTTCTTATATATATATATATATATATATATATAATATATATATATCTATTTAGAAACTTAGCTTAAGGATAAGATTAATATACCAGCTGTAATGACACTAAGAAGACTTTCTCCAGTTTTGTATGTGTCCTTTCCCTGTTCATTCAGGATTATTCATCTTCCCCAAAATTGTTTTTGTTTCTATTTATTGAAAACATCCACTTTTTCTTTTCTTGTGGAAAAAAAAGAAAACAAAAAGAAGACAGCTTGTGCTGATTTATCCAAACCGCTGTAATGATTCAGCCATGATTATATTTGAATACTGTTCAAATAAGTAAACAAAAACACATTTTCTATCTTTTCCGGTCCATATACTCATAAATCTGACTTACTCATCAGATTTCATAATGACTAACTTGTCTTCCTTTTGAAATACACCATTCAAAGAGAAACTGCTTTTCATGCAAGTTAAGGGTTATTTCCATATTTGTACATAGTTTCCTTAAACCTTGCATGGTAAGTAAATCATTGCAGTATGTTAGAGCTCTTCAGCACAAAAGGGCATCTCCCACCCACCCTTCTTGTTTTTCACATGTGTGAAGGATCAGTCTGGGTGGAGGCTGAACATGCACATGTAATTTTCAATAAATGTAGTGTGAGCAGAATAATATTAACCTGAAGCTGTATAAATATAATTTGGATCAGTTCTTTTTGTAATCATGAAATACAGTTGATAATGTATTGAGGTAAACCTTGGTATAAGAAAGGAACCATGATGAGTAAACTATCAGAGTATTTCTGCTACACATTTCTCATGTATTGGATTGTATTATTTTTTTTATCATTATTTTATTACTTCTTTTTGGATCCATGCAGTTAAAGCAGTTTATAGCACTTTGCTTTAATCTTTAATGTGGCAGAACTTAACGCCTAGTTTGCAGAAGATGATCTTTTCTTCCATGCAGAGGGGTAGAAAAGCACAAAATTAATGAGTTAGCAAACTGCAGACATATTGCAAGCTGCTGGACCTGAAAGACTAATAGACCTACACTCACTAACATTAAACTAAATGGTAGATTGACAGATTGACATATAATAACATTTATTTTATCTATTTTGCCTCACTCAGGTGTTGTGTTCCCATTCGCCGCTCCCGGTTTTGGCCGCTACAACCTGAACTTTTCTGATGCTGTGCGGGCCTGTGCGGAACAGAATGCTGTGGTCGCTAGCCGTGATCAGCTGTTTGAGGCCTGGAAGGCCGGCCTAGACTGGTGCAATGCTGGCTGGCTAAGTGATAGCACAGTGCAGTACCCCATCACCAAACCCAGAGAGCCTTGTGGTGGCACCAACAATGGGCCTGGCCTCAGAAGCTATGGCCACCGTGACAAACAGAACCGCTATGATGTGTTCTGCTATGCCTCTGCACTTAAGGGTGGGTTGGGTTTTTTGTTGTTTGTTTGTTTGTTTTAATACATTTTCTTTACATTGTTTTTGTCATACATTGTTCTTGTGGTTGGCTTGTACCAGGAAACACATTGCAAGTTTTGGTTTTGTTAAAAGCTTGCCAAATATGGCTTAGATTGGTAAACCCATATGTAAATATTCAAAATACAGCTTCTTGAACCCAGAAAATGACCACCTGTTTTGCTTTCTCTGCTGTCAGGTCGTTTCTATTGGCTGGTCCAACCCGACAGGTTGACCTTTGGAGAGGCTATGCAGGCATGCTTGGACGATGGTGCAGAGATTGCCAAGGTGGGCCACATATATGCCGCCTGGAAGCTCGAGGGCTATGATCGCTGCGATGCTGGCTGGTTGGCTGACGGAAGTGTCCGCTACCCCATCTCCAGGCCCCGCAAGAACTGCAGCCCCACAGAAGCTGCAGTGCGCCTTCATGGATACCCAGACAAAATGCAAAAGTCCTACGGCGTCTACTGCTTCAAGGCTGAGCAGTGAGGAGGTAGAAGTAGGGAGGCCATAACCACCAAAGAGCAGCAACAACCACAACCATTAAATTCAACAATAAAGCATACAAGCTTTGGATCTTAACAAGCATGAACTCGAAACCTTTCTGAAACTGTGATAACCCTTTTTAACGCCTAAAAACCAATACTGTACATCTTACATCCATATGTAATGAATGACAAAATATTTTGTAGCCATTAAGTTCTGTTTTCTCTAACTGTGCATTCATTAATTTTACACAGACTGTTAGGGAAAAGGCAACAGTGTTAATGTACGAGTGATGTGACAGAGACAAGAGCTTGATGGTTGTTAAACATCATCTAAGTTTGGTTTGTCCTCCACAGAATGATTAGATGTGTGAAATTCAAGATTTAGAGCATTTATGCTCATGTGCAGATGATATTTGCTGCTTTAAAATTTGTCTAAAGAATGAAACAATGTGATTACTGAGTCATGAAGATAACCTGGCTACCACTGTTAAGCTATGGATATATACATGTTATATTGCAGAAAGTATTCCACGGGTTTCCTCTCTAATCAGAGTTGAAAGTTAAACTGCCAAAAGGTTTTTCAACCTGAGAAGTTGAGATCAAATTTACTGTTTAACAAGAAAATGAATGTAAATGTCTTGATGGACTGTGACCTATTCCGCATTGATAGCTCCCATTAGATCAACTCCCAATTATATTTTAAAAGATATTTTCTATTATTGTAATCATGTTTGTTTATTTTAACAATTTTTTTTTTTACTTTTTTAATGATGTATGTCACTATAGTTTTTTACATTATAGTGTTATTTTTTAAAGAAAATAAATACAAATTCTGTCACTTGTAGATGTTTTTGTGAAGTGTAGTTTAAAGACAACTTACATTTGGCACATACAAAACAGCAAGTTTTCACTCAGATAGTGAATGTAGAATAAGTACAGATTTTCCCCTTTTGCCCTTTAACAGAACCTTTTATCAAAACATAAACCTGATTGCCTAACAGTAGCGATTCCCCAAGATTGACACCTAATATTACAGTAATCACAAGTATAACAAAAAATGTATGGGCTGATATCTTCTCTGACTGCAGTTTCTTACTGAGGTTATGAGCTATTAATGATACATTTCCCCTGGTAGTTTATTCTGGCAAAGACCTGAGTAATACTGACGATCTCTTACACTACATAGGGATTCATTAATAGTCATGCAAGTGGCTGGATCTGAAAAAGCATCCTAATAGTTTTCTGTAGACCACAGTGAGCATGTTAACAGAGCTGATCTAAAGGCCACAAGCAGAAGATAGCACCTGTTTTAGATATCAGCTACAAAAATAAGTTGATATTTAGCATTTTGCTTTATGTTACATTATCCCTTCATACCTTTTCTAACCCTTGGCACTGACATGTGGTACTTACTGCAGGTTACATGTGGTAATATGGTGATGCATTGTTTGTAAAAGCAAAAAATGTCTGTTACACAGTATTTTTGTATCTTATCGCCATGTACCTTTTTCAACAAAGCAGTTTGAAATAAAGAATACAACCTTTAAATCAATTTTGTCCCTTTCTCAATAACAAACCTTTTTTGTTCCACTGGAACCAAATCAGTATGTATTATGTGAGGATAGAGGTTTAAACAGAGATTAAACAGTATTGTTTAATCTGGCATGGCCAGAGGCCATGTATCTGGCATGAGCCCATGTCTCTGAGAGGACTTGAGATTAGACTCCCCTCACATTTATTTATTCTTTGGCATTTTTTTATTCAGTGCCAGGCTGCCAGCCCACCACTACTTTAGACAAAGGGAACAGTACAGCAGTCTTTAAGAGTGTTTGTGGGAATGCATGGGAATGGGGTCAGATTTAGAATGATACAGCAGTGAAATGCCTGACAAGAGTCCACTGATGCCTGCTTTTTTTTCCTGTGGACTCTAGAGCAGCTACTTTTCCAGCAAAGAAAAACTAATAATTAAAACAAAAAATGTGCAAAAAAAGTACAAAACATTTATGTTTCTGCATACTAGTGGCATAAAGTGAGCTTTTCTTTGTCTCTGGGTCATTTTAGAATGCTGGAAGCAGACAGTGCAATTGATCATCAGTTATCATCAAATGTTGTCTCATTGCTGAACATTTCATTTGGTTTGCTTCTGTGGTTTTAAGCAATCAAATGTTTTGCTGACTTTCAGCAAAGCTTGTCATTCAAAGATACCCAGATTAAGTAATGTGACATGCAAATTTCAGGATGAGTGAATGACAGACACTCTGTATTGGACTAGACAGAGTCTGAGGCGCCCGTCTTTCCCAAGAAACTATCAGAAAGAGCCAGGGTGCATTTCCTTTCCAAAACAAACCTAGACAGCTTGTTAAATCCCTGAGAGACCTGGGCTTGGAGGTCTAGGTATTCTCACTGATCACCCATGAGACATCTGCATTTCATGAGGCAAGAATATAGGTTTAACTCTCATTGGGGCATCCAGGAGCTGCCTTTAATCACAAGCCAAGTCTTCTCTAATGACAGAGTAGGCAGTCACAGTGAAAACCACAGCAACCCCAACTTACACAAAGTTTACATCTACCAACTTGATGTTATTACCCTGGTAATGGTGTTTTGTGCTATTAGGTCATGTCGATTTAAGTCATGGCTGTATAAGGAGGCGCTCTGAGAATAGTGGTGAATTGGAATGTACTCAAAAAGCTTCTGTTTTTACACCAAGGGAATTCATCTACACTCTTTATGCACCACCATGTTGGCATACAAAGTATTTGACATTCAAGAGGAGCCACCTACAGCCATGCTATTGACCAAAAAAACTGTAATGTGGTATGCAGGTCCACAGTTCTGCAGCATCAGCCATTTCAGGAAATGCATCACTTCTCCCTAATCCAGTTCTTACTCCATATGTTTGCTTCACATTGCTTCTTCCTATCTGCTCTCCCTGAATGTACCGTCTGTCTGCCAAGAGGCTTGTAGAGCATGTCTGATTTTTCAGAAGTGACTGATGTATGTGCAAGACACTGCAATACTTTGAAAGTAGGACATTGGTATGATGTTCTACAGAGAGTCATAGTGATTCACAGAATGCAGAGAAAATTCTTCACATTATGTTTCCATGAAGGAAATGAAATATACACCCTTTTCCATGGTAGTGAGCAGACAAAAACTCAGGTTTATGGCTTAGTCTGATAGCACTACCTGCTGGTGGAACGGCTACACTACTTACTCCACTCAAAATGTAGCTTAGTTTTAAAGGACCCAATAACAGGGACACTGTCCAAGCATGCAATAAAAAAAATGTGTTTAAAAGAACAGTATGCTACTTCATGAAAGCACTAAAAAATTGACAATTTAGACGCTCCATTTCATCAAACCTGCATGTGTTCAAAAACTAGGGGGAAACCTCAACATCTGCACAGACATAAGGAGAACATGCACAACACCCACTGTCTTTCCCGAAATATCTGTAAAAAATCAAATTAAATGTTATGAGTATACATATAATATCCATATATTTTATTTCTTTGGTGATTTAAAGCAGGAAAAAAACAGTTTGATCTCACAAAAAAAAATCACAAACATCCCAGACATTCACATTGTAAAATAAAACAACAAACTGTTATAAATATAAAATGATATTATATGCACATTAAGGCTGAGATACATACACACACACAGACACACACACACACACACACACACACACACACACACACACACACAGAGAGAGAGAGAGAGAGACAGACAGACATTAACAGGAAGACAAAACAAACACATTTTCCATTTTAAAAAATGTTGGAGACACATAACCATCCACATGTACAAATAATTTTAACAGTATTGCAGCCGATGGGGCCCTCCATATTCTTTGGTCCACTGCTGGCATGATAAAAAAAAAAAAAAAAAAAAGTATAAATCCATTGTATTGTTGAGTAATTTTTCATCTTCATTGCATCCCTTTTAGACAGTCTGTGATTGTGGCTGGTCTCTTCCGGTACAAACAATAAAAATACATGAAGAGCACTGCTGGGCCAGGTGACAACATCATATTTTACCTGTGAGTATAAAACAAGTAAGGAGATCAAGAGCAGCTTGAAAATAAATTATATGCATCTCTGCCTAAACAGCCGTTACGTTCAAGTCTTTTTGAGTGTTTCACAAAATACATTCTCTCAATGGCTGATTCCAATTGATCACAATAACAGAAAAGTGTGCAGAAGAAAAGCATTACCTATAAAACCATCACAAGCTACAGAATGACAACAACAGATGAGAGCAAGACTCTTTGGTGTATAATTATGAACAGCATAACAGGTATTGTAAACATGCTGTAGCAACTAATTGGAAGTTATCACCAAACACACAAGCAGAAAATACAGGCTACTTGAGCCACACTTCCCTTTTTACATTTCAAAGGTTGATGGACAACGATTCCCAATCAGTGGATAGAGGCTTTGTTGATGAGTACTTAGAGAGCACTCTCTCATGTTAAATTGAAAAACATTATACAAAAGGAATATCAGTTAGTTAAAAATAGAAGAAAATCTATCCATCAACATTTATCGATGACATCTTTAATTAACAAGGCAAGAGTTAATTAAAGATGGTAATTTGGTACTTTGAAAGCTGCCACTACAAAGAAGGTCTCCTGCAGTTAGTGAGTGACTTTTTTCCCCAGACTTGGCTGTATTATTAATCTGGAATCTACTGCTAGCAAAGCCATGAAACCATTCTCCAGAATATGATTAGTGTCTCTGTTGATTAGATTTGAAGACTGGAGAAAGTTTCTTTGTAAAGGTTTACAGTTCGAAAGTATGTGATATAATATTCTACTAATATAAACTATCTGTTGCATGATCAATCATAGCCAATGATGACTCCATTTATGTTCTGAGAAGCCAAACTTGGATCTCTTGACATAGAATAAACATATTAAAATTATGAGGACTTCAATATATATGCATTTGCATGCATGCTCATTAAATGAAGTCCAGCTTAAAACAGCATGACAACATAATGGATTCCTTTACATAATATAAGCGCTATAATTTCACAACAGCTTTTTTTTTTCTATGAATAAGGAACACTTATGATGATTTTGAATAGCAGGGTTGGTGTAGAAAGGTATTAGATAACAGTCATGATTGTATTATTTGATAAGCTAAGGACAAAGAAAAATCTTCCACAGTTTAAGAAAGAACGATGAGTGTATTTTTTGCTTTTCCAGTAGCCAGCTGAAAGTATTTTATCCACATTGGCATTGTTATAAAACACTGCCCCTTGATAAGAAAAGTCATGTATCAGCCTCTCTTTAAAAGGCACTTCATAAGATTCCATCGTCATCTGAAATGCAAGGACACTGCTGGTTATCCTCTTGGTTTCTTTGATTAGTTTTCTCTTGTGCTTTGCCTTTGAGAATCCGTTCCTCTTTCCACACAAGCATCAGCCATGTGTTATCGTCTCGGGCGAAACTGTGCCACGTTACATGGCCATCACTGTCTCTTCTGTTTATGTTCATTCCTGTCTCTCCTTCCTCGGTAGCGCTGTTGCTGAAGGCGGAAGGCCTCATCCGGCCATCTCTTGAAGTTGTTGATGCTGTAGAGAGTATTGTGTTGATGTCTTCTGATAAAGGTCCTCTGATAGCTTGATGCTGTCAGACAAAAGTGATATTTTAGCCTTAAAACAGTGGTAGTGTTTGTCAAAGCACTATACAGTGGGAGACACAGAACAATGTGTATCTATTGAGAGCAATATTTACTGTACTTACGATTCATGCAAGAGATTTTAGGGCTATCCCATTGTCCATCCCCACGACAACGGATAGTTGGGACGTGCCTCTGAATAAAGCCTGACCGGCACTGATACCTCACCAGCGAGTTGATCTCATATCTCTCACGCTTTTTACCAAAGGTACGTGCATTCTCCACCAGAGGGGGCTCGCTACAAGCCACTGAGAAACAGAAGTGACAATAAGATTACAGTGAGGAGTTTTACAGTGACAGAAGACATTTGTATTTTCTCCTCTCTGAATTCATGCATTCTGTTACGTAAGAGATTATGTCTGCTGATTCAGCATTCTTTTTACCTGTGCCTTTCTTGCAGGTGAAGGTGAGGTGGTAGTTGCAAGGAACATCATTCCACTGGCCGTCCTCATGCCATATCATCACAACACAATCTTCGCCAGATGTGAAGAAGCTGTCAGGCTGGTTGGGCCTCCAGTTTTCATATTGCTGAAAAAAGAGCAGAGCATAAAGAGTTAGCCATTATGATGGGTTTTGTGTCCTTCAGATGACCCTTCTTTTAAGGTCAATGTCTTATTTTCATACAACACACAAATTCTAACCCTAAAGAAGTATACATGCTTTGATTTTAGTATTTATTATTATTATAACATTATATCATTATATTATAATGTATTTTAGGAGCAGTAGTTATCTCTCTAAATAATAAAGTGCATAACATCATCTGGAGACACCAGTGGGGTAAAAGTTAACAAGTCAGCACATGAATTGTTACTACCACCTATCTCCTGCCACATAAGTGACTGCACAATTAGA